TAATGTGATCATTGCTTTGGTTGGATTAAAACCTACTATTTTTCTATTTTTTTCTGTGTTCCATCTGTTTTTTGTTCCTTTTCCCTTTTTTTTTTTTTTTTCTTTTTACTTCTGGATTTATTGTGGGTGTTTTTAGATTGCATTTTCTGTCCGCTATTGGTTAATAGCTCATTTAAATTTTCTTCCAGTCGTTATCCTATGGTTTACAATACACAACGTCAAGTAATCACAGTCTACTGTCAAACAGTATTACACCACGTCACATGTAGTGTAAGAAACTTGCAATAGTGTAGTCCCAAACTCTCCCACCCATGTTTTGTGCTACTACTGTCACATATTTTAATTATATCTATACTATAAATTCACAGTGCCTTGCTATTATATTTGGTTTTGGTAATCAAATATATTTAGAACGAATAAGGATGACACAAAAATTATGCCTTATATATTTATCTTTTTTTTGTTAACCATCTTCAGGGATCTTCCTTTTGTTGTATAGACCCAGGTTTCTCCCTGTTGCTGTATTTCTCCTGCCAGAGTTGTTCTTTTAACATTTCATGTAGTACAGATCTGCTGGTACTGAATCCTCTGTTTTTATTTGCCTGAAAAGAATCATTTTTCTTTCATTTTTGAAAAATATTTTGAGATTTTTATCTTTGGTTCTTTGTTATGCAATGAGTCTATTTTTTTCTGGCTGCCTTCACTATTTTCTATATTTCATTTGGTGTCAGCAATTTGGATATATGGAGTGTGTGTGTGTGTGTGTGTGTGTGAGTGAGTGTGTGTGTCCCACAGCCTTTCGATGCTCTGTTCTTTTTTCCCCAACTCTTTTTTCTTTTTATTTTCAGTTTGGATAGTTTCTATTGACCTATCTTCAAGTTCACTCATTTTTTCCTGAGCTATATTGAGTCTACTGATGGACCCATTTAAGGCAGTGTTTATCTCTGTACAGTAACATTTATTTCTAGCATTTCCATTCAACTCTCTTATCTTTTTAATCTCTTTTCTACAATTACTAGTATACTTAAACATGTCGTCCACCTTTAAAGTAAACTTTTAAATATATTAATCAGAGTTATTTTCAATTCTCTCTGTTATAGTTCTGTTAACTTCTTTTGAAAGTGGATTGCCCTTTCTGTTTTGTTGTTTTACTGCAGTCTCATAAATTTTTGATTGATTGCCAAACATAATGTTTAGATGGGGTGACTTTGATAAATAGTATTTTTGCCTGGTCATGGGCATGCCTCCTCTTCTACTAGCAATTATTGTGATGGATTAAATTGATCTAATCAGGAGTTAAACTAGTTTTAGGTTTTGTTGTTACCATAATTATCTTCATTGCACCACAGGCTTCAAGTTCTATAGGTATAAACTTTGTTCTTAGGGTGCAGACTGGTTTGCCGGGGGATTTTTTTTTTTTTTCTATTTCCTTCTCCACTTTCAGCTTTAAGCCTTCTCTGTGTGTCCATGCCTCAGAGAAGGTCTCCATGCTCTTACCCCTCCCCAGCTTTGGCTTATTTGTCTCTGCCTGCTATGTCTCCCTAGGACTTAGGGATGAAGATTTTTCTGGATCGTGCCTTTCCCACAGTGAAAGGAGATCTAATGATCTGGGTCCATGACAGTTTCTTGTCCCTCGCCAGGGGTAGAAGATTTTTTCCTTTTCTTTTTCCCCAGTAACAATGGATCTTTACTCATACCCTGGGGGATCACAGTGTTTAAAGACCTACTTGCAGTTTAAGGCTTTTGTTCCTTAGAGTATAAGGACCAGGTGAAGTTTTGGTCTTTTCTCACAGTGGCAGCTGCTTCTCTCCTCCAAGCCTGTACCACCAAGGATAGCTTTCCCCTGTCCCCCACCCTGCCTGCAGTCTTTCTCATAAGCACCCAGTGAAATCCATAGAGAAAATTTAGAAAGAGAATGTGTACTTACTTCTGTGTCTGTGGTTCTCAGGGTTTGTATGTCTCATTTGCCCATGTTTGCCTTAATTAATTCATTTTTAAAATTCACCTGAAGTTTTCATTCTTGCTTGTATGATGTCTGGTATGTCTTCCTTCAGTGCTCTGATGAAGGTGTGCTAGTTCCAGCATTCTGTCTGACCTTGAAGATGCCTGTTTTTCCTTAGGTTTTATGCTCGTTGGTTGTCCTGTGGTCTCACCTCTCTGAAGGACTCAAGAAAAGTTACAATTTTTTGTATTGTCTAGGTTTTTCTTGCTATTAGAGTGAGAGTAACATTCTTTCTGGCTTCTACATCTTAGGCAGATTCCAAATGTTTTATGTCAAACAGCTCCTCAAAAAAAGTATTTATGAGCAACTTTCTCTAATATTTATATATTTTTATTTTAAAATTATTTAGTTGCACTACTGCACAAATATATAAATTGTAAAACATTCCCAGAAATAGTAGTAAAAAAGGATGAAATAGATACCTGGCTTTAACATGGTGACATAAACTCAGCATTTCCCATTTCTTCCCTGTGGAAATTATTCAAAACCAGCAAGGAAAGCTGTGCAGCTCTGTGTTTCAAAGACAAACCGTGACCAGGATGACTCCTGCCAACAGTCACTACACCAACTTTGCTGCTCTTGCCAATTACAAAAAAAAGATTATAGTTTTTTCAGCTATCTGTATGTCTCTCACCTTTAGTAAATTAGTTTATTTGCTTTTTCTCATATATGGAGCCATAGAGAAAGCAGGACTAAGCAGATGATCATGCAACAAGTCATGCTTATAGGAAAGTTTGTTTCAATGACAGCAAAGAAAAAGGAAGCCTTTGAATTGTGAAAACAAGCCAGTTTTCAAATACCACCCTTGACCTTCCCCAGAAACTCACCAACTGTTCCAAGGAAAACCAATCTACTTTAGTACAAGTAAGAAATAGAGAACCATCATTGAACATATGCAAACATATTATGAGAAAACGACCACCACCACCAAAAGAACAAAAGCTGGTTACAAATGAAGAACTCTCACCAGAAAAAGTTGCCACAGCATAAGGTGAAGAGTGTGAGTAATTGCCATGTCTTTGAAAAACTTCATCAAGCAAGATCATAAAGTAGAAACGCAATGATAATGATAGTGATAAAATGTGAAATGGCAGAATGCTGTGAACTGGAAGAATTGAAAAGATTTTAGAGAGAAAAATGACAGAAATAGATAACAGGTAAAAAAAAAAAAATCCAACATGTAAAAAAAAAAAATCCATAGAGAAAAACATTGAAATTATGCTGGGGGAGGAAGGACAGTTGTGGTTAAATACAAAAAAATGCAAATTTAAAAAATATATAAGTCAAGAAGACATTGCTGAATTATCAGAAGATTTTTAATGCATACATTAATTGATTAAAATATTAAAGATTAAAAGCCCACATTGTGTGATAGGAAAATAGAATGTTCATCACTGATACACGACCTAGTGAAATTATTCAACTTCTAAAATAAATAACTCTTTGGCCTGCCTGCCCACAAGGAACAATCACCATAAGTGGTGGGCGGGGTGGGGTGGGGAATCAAGCTTCCCTTAAACTTCTCAACAGCAGCACTGAATTGCAGAAGACAGTGGAACACTACTTATAAGATCTTATAAAGAGAAAATATAAATTGTGGGCTCTATATCCAGTCAAAATCTTATTCAAGTACAGAGGAAACAAATATACACCTGAGAATATAATCTATTCTTAGAGATTATTTCCATAGGACTTTCTTGAGAAAACTAGTACTGGAGGATAAATTTCAACCACCATGTGGATGACTGGAAACACAAAGGGAGAAATGGGCACACAATATATTTAACCATAGAATGGAAGCTAAAACAACTGAAGGGCTTAGGGTAACAAAAAAGAAAGCAAATGTGATGTGCCCTAACAATTCGGAATTTATATAACTAACGAAAAATGGAAAAATATGGGGGGAAGAAGTTCTACAGAAGAGTAAGTATGATGATATCTTCAGTTATGATAGCCAATTATAGGATAAAATATAAAGTTGATAAATGGAAATATAAAAATATTTAATAATGTCAATATAAACACTGAGGACAATTAAATAAGTAACTAAAACTAGATGGTGGAGAAGAAATAAAGGATTAGAGAGACATTGAAGAAACACTCAAATATCATTATTTCTCATTGTAAAGCCAAGATCTTAAAAAAATAGAGCATTGGGGGTACTTTAAAAGGTTATCGTTATAAAGTTAACCAAGAGAAGGAAATAATACAAAACTTAAATGTCAGAAGAACCACACACAGACATATACGTAAGAAGAAAGACACACATTGGTGAATAATCCTTTAAAATCTTTACACATAAAAAAATGCAGTAAAAATCATAAGACAGAACCAATATCAAGCATATTTATGATATGAATAAATGTAAATGGGCTAAAACTCAACTATTGTTTTTAAAAAATAAGACTTTTAGATTGGATCACATAGCAAAATTCAATTCTATGCTCTATACAAGAAATACAACTAAAACAAAGTGTTTGGAACGATTGAAAATGAAAGCAAGTATGAAGATATACAAAGCAACTGTAAATGTAAACAAGGTTGGATTCAGGCCACAAAAAGCATTGAACTAGATAAACGAGTATACTTTATAAAGTTAAAATGTGCAATTCACAAAAAGCAAATTAAAAGAGTGGTGCTTTTGACGACCAACTGGAGTTTGTTTAAAGTGACCATCTATCCCAGTTTACCATGGATATAGTGTATGTCTGTTGCCCTAGTTTAATTATTTATAGAATATTCTTTCACACTTAAAATATCTGGCTTTAGATGATAATTATATGGTCAGCCTAGATTTATTCCAGGAATGCAAGGATGGTTGCATATCAGGAAATATGTTCACATAAATGTGGGGCATTTCAGCATTTCCCTCAGCCTCATAACACTGCATGTCATGCACTATTACATCCTTTCCTAAACTCTCAGAAACCTCTCCTTTTTCCATTTTCATTTCCTTTAGCTCACTGGATCACAGCTGTGACATATGTTCCTTTTACAGGGTCCCTTGAAAGGCTTTCTGGAAGATTTAGGCAGACTGCAGAAGAAGTTTTATGCCAAAGATGAACGGTTACTTTGTCCTATCAGGACCTACCTGGTTACAGCCAGGAGTGCAGCCAGTGCAGGCGCCCGTGTGCTGAAGACCCTTCGCCGCTGGGGTCTAGAGATAGACGAAGCTCTTTTCCTTGCTGGAGCTCCCAAAGGTCCCATCTTGATGAAGATTCGGCCCCACATTTTCTTTGATGACCACATGTTTCACATTGAAGGAGCACAGAAATACGGAACCATCACAGCTCATGTACCTTATGGCATCCATCAAAAATACAGCCCTTAGGGATATGGAGGAGAAATAAAGCACTGCCAGTCTGGTATTACAAAAGCCACTTCTTTTGGATCTCTAGGGTAATTAGATAGGTATTTCAGAAGATTGGACCTCAGAACTTAGCTCCTTTGGAGAGATTTTCTCTTGACTTTTTTGAAAACATTTTGAACTCTCAAGTTACCTTCAAGCTACTTTGAGCTGTCAGTGCTGTTGAATGCCATTGCACCTACCTCTGTGCAAGTCAGAATGATGACTCTTTGGGATAAGTTTAGAATCTGAATGCTTGTATGCTTAAGGGGCAGTTTCAGAAATTAGTTTCACAAAACATTGCTCATTTTTGGATGTTGGCAGATGGAATGAATCGTTACCCATCAGCATTCTAGAATAGTGGTCTCCAAAGGGGGAATGAATACAGTTAAGCACACTCTTGAAAACTACAACTCTTTATTCTGTTGCTTCTACGACCAGCCTTTTAACCAATACAAGATAAGAATGTCACTCCTCCTGCATGAGTATCACAATTTTGACATTGCTCATTCAGAAATAAATCAGCTGGTTGTTCCTAGAGGGTACTTTCTAAGCTGAGCTCTAGACAGAACCACTTAGGAAAGGTTATTGGAAGCTTACTTGATAGGTTAATTGTCTCTCAATGTATTTATAGTCTCTAGCTTTGGACCTGACGGGTCAGTTAATGTTTATATGAAGAAAAGAAAAAAAAAACACCTTGGCCACCACTTCAAGATGTAACATGAACTGTAGTATCTGGCCCTTCATTGTCATTTTGTTGTGATTTTTCATTTTGTTTTCAATAAAATTTTTTTGGTTATTAACCATAATATATTAGGCACAGTAAGCTGGTTATTTTCACATTACTTCATTTTCTTATCAAATTAGATATTGTGACATCATATTATTATTATTGCCTTCCTTTTTTATCAGTGAGGAAACTGGGATTCAAAAAGATTAAGTAGCTTGTCCAAGGATGTGGAGCTAATAAGTGGTAAGACTAAGATTCAAGTTCAGATCTTACTTCAAAAGCTATATGTCTCTTTCCTGTCTGTTATAAAGCCTTCGAAATAGAGTTGCTTTTAATTCCATGGCCTCTGGACCCATTTGTAACAGATTAGTCATTCTATTAAGTTCCATTTGTACGCTACACAGCAGTTACACAGCAGGTCTAAGGATTTCTCTCTGCTTCTCTTTCTCACACTCTCTCCTGTTCTGTCTACCCCCAACGCTGTCTCTACCCAATCTGCCCATACATATTTCACCCCTGGCTTTAACTGAGAAGCTGACATACATCTTTTGATCTGCTTCCAAATTTAATGTAAGCCAGTCCAAAATATTATGAGTTATGACACATGTTGAGTACCTACTGTTCAGGTGTTTTCCTATGTGAAGACCACAAGTAGGACTCAGATATAATCCCATCCTTTAGGAAATTTAAAACTTTAACAATCTGGTAGGGGAAGTCAAATGTGAAAACTCCAATAGCCAACAGTAAAGGGATGTTTGTCCTCAGTACCAATGGGGGTCACTCATGGGGTTGAGGAAGCAGAGATCTATATAGGCTGGAAGTGGTCAGGAAAGAAGAGACCCAAGGTGGGCTTTGAAGGATGAGCAAGATGTGGATGAGTAGAAAGGAAGAGAGAGAGGAAACACAAGTGCTGGGGTCTCAGTGAGTTTGAGTGGCAGCTTCACATTGAGGATAGGGTAGAGTAAGGGCCACTTCTTGTAATTCCTTTTCCTAGAGTCTCCTAATCCCTGGTGGTAGTGCTCCCACCTCTGAGCTCCATTCTCAGTACTCCTAAGAAACCTTCACCTGGAATCCACCCCTTTTCTCTTTGTGTTATGACTTAGATGCATGTTATATCCTTCCCAAATGCAAGGGAGTAGATAATTGTTTATCAAAATCATCTAGGGAATTTATTCCAAACTATTGTCCCTCTTCCTTTATCCTGAAGAATCTGGAATGGGTGGAGCTGGGAACAGAAGATCTCTGTACCAGACAGTAAGCACCCGGAGGGCAGAAATGGTCCTTTTCCTCTGTGGTTCTCACAGGGTATAGGCAGCAGCTGGCACATATTGGACATGTCAGTAGATGAATGAATGACATCTTTAAGAGTAGCTTGGTCTAAAGCTATGAAGTTCGCAGCTTGAAGATGGGTCCCTATGGCACTAAGTTCTGAAGCATACAAAGCCCTTCGCCCTCCATTGTCACATGTATTAGTCCCATGGAGGGGGCGGGGAGGCATTTGTGAATGGGCCTGTTCAGAATTTTAAGTTTACAATAAGTCCAAGCTTTTCCCATTGTACCTCTGTCAGTGTCAAATAAGATCATGTGAGAATGACTTTTTCTGTAGGGACCAATGGTATACTTTTTCGGTCTCCAGTTCAGTAGCATCAGCATCACTTGGGAACTTGTTAAACGTGCAAATTCTCAGGCCCCATCCTGGGGCTATCGAGTTAGAAACTCTGGTACTGGGGCCCTGAAATTTCTGTTTTCGTTTTGTTTCATTTCCCCCCCAAGCCCTCTGGGTAATTCTGATGCACACTAAAATTTGAGAACCACTGGCCCATTCTATTTACAACTGATTTATGGTATTAAATTCTTAGTCTCATCTGTGGAAAAATGAGTCCATCCTCAGACTTCAGTTGGGCAGGGACCAGTCTCCAGCAGGGGGAAAGTAAACTGAACTGAGAGTTTACAAGTCCCAGGAGCGCTTACAAAACACACACACTAAATGCCATTGAAGAGTGGCATTTGTAACCAGGCCTATGAATAGATTTGTAAACTCGAAGTATTCATCAGGCACTTCCACGGGGGAGCCCGCCATCACTCTGGGATTCAATGGGTATGAAACCCAGCACCCTCTATCCTTAGGCTGGCGTCAGGTTCCACCGAGGGCACTGGACCTACAGCGCTGAACTCCCCCAACCAATCAGGTGCCCTCGGGCTGGAGACTACAAGTTCCAGAATGCTCCGGGCGCACCGTCAGGGGACGACTGGCCGCGCCCCAGAGTTCCTCGCGTGCAGGTGGCAGCCTGGCCTCCGGGCAGGCGGCGGCCCCGCAACTCCTGTGCAGGGGCCGGTGGGCCCGCGGGCCCACCGGCAGGGACCAGGGGGCCCTGCGGAGGGGGGAGGGAGGATGGGCCAAATAAGCTGCGAGTTTGAGTTGGGTCAAGACGGCTCAGGATTCTCTTTCTAGCTCATCCACTGTATGTTTAGGGACAGAGGTGGCCCTCCATGCAGTGGCTCTCCACTCTGCTAGCCAGTGCTGAGCTGCATTGCAGCAGGGAAGGGGGAGCGCTGAGGTGGAGGAGGAGCCTGTGCGGCTGGAAGGTGCCTCCGGGGCTGTGGAACAGCCCGGCTCCCTGCATCCTGCCAGCCTGCCTTCCTCAGACTGGAGGATCCACCTGCTCCTGCCCCCAGCCCATGCCCTTCCTCCCCTGTCACTCTGTGCACCACACAGCTCACACCCAGTGGACGCAGGTGGACTCTGAGCTTAGTCTCAGCCTGGCTTAGGGACACCCAACCTGCCTCTCCAGCCCTTCCCGCGGCTCCCCACACGGGACCCCACCTCAATCTGGCTGCTGTCCCTGACACTTTGGGCTCATTCCTGATTCCAGAACATTGTTCATAGTCCTCCCCAGCCCTCTCTTGAGGTCTGATTCTGTTCCTCTTCAGCCTGCTCCCACCCCCACCCCTAGGTCCCCCTGAGTGACCCTCTTGTCACTTAGGGGCTGCCTTGCTCCTCCAGGAGAAGCTCATTCTGCCTCACGTTGTCACCACCATATTGCACTTCTGCAGAACAAAGTCCCTCATCTATTCGTAATAACTTCGTATAGCATACATTATACGAAGTTATACGAGGCCCAGGGGGTGTGACCTTGGCAGTGACTGAGACCGCAGGAGGGAAGAAAACGGCCACTTTGAGGCTGCCGGGAGTTTCAGGCATGAGAAGGAAGAACTGAGAGGACCGTCATCTGTCCTCTAAGGATGTTGAGAAATGGGCACAAGAGGAAAATAATCAAGAAGGCAGTTTGTGAACATTTCCCCGTGTTACGTGAGGCCCGCCCAGGAGGAGATCACTTGGTCTCTTGAATTGTTTTTCCTGGGGAGAAGAGGAGTGGAGTTGGGGTGCTTGCCAAAGACTTTAAATCCTTTTTTCTCTCTTCTGTTGTATTCTTTGCTCTTCTCTCTTTTGTGTTCTGTTCTTTTTCTGCTGGGGTAGGCAGTGTAGCTCGCTGCCACCAGTGACCTCATCAGCACCATCCTTAACCGGACTCAGGCCTGATTTCCAAACAGAGTGGAGCTGGAATCTTAGCATGTATTGAGAGTTTACTGCATGCCAGGAGCTGTGCCAAGCATTTCAGATACTTTTTTTTATTATTATTATTTTAAATTTAATTAATGCCCCCTTGGCTATTACTCTCATCGAATCTTCATGGTAACCCTGTAAAGTAAGCATTATTCCCATTTTACAACATGAGGAAACTGAGGCGTAGGAAGGCTAAGTAACTTGTCTGTGGTCTGCCTCCAGAGCCCTTGGCTTTAATCCCTATTCTGTACTTCCGCCTGGTAGTGAGGTGCGAGGATTTCTTTGTGTAGATGGTAAATATTCCACTGAAGTGGATGCCTTCTGAGATTGAGGTAGAAGGGCTTTTTGCAGAGGTGACTTGCAAGAGGGTGCTCGGAAGAGTGAGATTTAAAATTAGCTGGCACAGAACAGGTGCCCATATGAAATGGAATCTCTTGAGTCTAAAGCAGAGGTTCCCAGACTTTTTCAGTAATTTTTTCATGATACCCCTAGGCCAAAATAAGTATCTACCAATTCATTTATTATATAGTTGGGCCCAAAAAACCTAAAAGTATTTACGTCCTAACAACTTAGTGACTGTTTGAAAAAATGATGCATATAACTGAAAGAAAAAAATGATATTTTTTATTTTCTTCTTACATAACCATAGTTGCTAATGGGATGTATGCACCTGTTGGCCACTGCACCAACTTTCCAAACCTTTGAACGAGATTGGACACTGCCACCCTCATTTCCTGCTGACATAGAATTTTAGAATTGTGCTTGCTTTTTATTACAGCAGCTGCTAACAACTGCTAAAAAACTCAGCTCGACAAAGAAATGACATCATCAAAAGAAATACAGCACATTATAATACTGAAGCTGTGAACCACCTGGAGATAGTAGTTTTGAGGTATTGAGCAGAGTATCACTGTGTTTCCCTCGAAAAATTTAAATATGACACAACATCCTTGGAGTTTGCTGTGGTGCTCTAGGGTACCTTGATGCACAATTTGGGAGCTGTGGCCGATCTAGAGAGTTGTTTTTTTGTTTTCTTATTGCTAGCATTTCATTATCATGTACCACAGCTTAAGAAATAAGAAATAATACTAATGTATGAGAGATTTTGAAAGCAGTAGAAGCAGGTCTTCCTACTCTTCATTAAAATGTAGATGGGGCTGGGTATGCTTCTCGTTCCTGATACCTGTGCTACTTTGCTACTTTGGCCACTTGAGGCAGAACCAATTAAAAGGTAAGGACACAAAGAGATAACTAAATTGTTGTCCTTGCTTCTAAGAATTTATGTTCCTGTCTGGCTCTAATTAGAAGAAAAAAAAAAAATGGAAGTGTAGATTTCCCTCAGGTTGGTATTCTTGGTATTTATGTCGTTTATCTCCTAGAATTTAAAAAATAGTAAATGATAAAGTCTTAAAATAACATAAGCCCAGCAAAGAATGATGGCTCACAAATGATTAACTCAGGAAACGCTTCCAAAGGATTAGTGAAAAAGAACACTCCTTTTTTTCCCGCATGGGTGAACTTTTGCCTTCTTTTTGAAGTTTACTATTGGAAAACCTAAAGGTGCTTAGACAGGTTAGAATGAGAAATAGTTAATCCTCTGACAGGTAGACTTTGATAACAGTTGTGAAATTTAACACATTTTTCTTTTCACTTATATTTGGCAAAAGGGCCAGCGAAATTTGAAATTTGACCTCAAATTAATTTAATCATGGGTCATCACCGTGTCTTTACACCTGGAACATGTTGTACATTTCTTTTCCTCTGTCCATCAGAAGAGACAGTGAGGAGCCAAGAAAGGGCTAGAGAAGACCAACTTATATGATTTAAGGAATGAAAAGACTTCTGTAGGAGAACAGTCTAAATTTTAGGACTTTAATCTGGAAAGATGCAGAGGGCTATAGTCAGAGTTCAAAATTCCGACTTTACAGATCTCCTAAGGTGGGGGCTCCTTGAAACTTGAAAGAGATAGTTTTCATATACAGAAAAATACTGAATTGCAGAGTCATAATAGAGGTTAAAGGTGTTTGTGGATTGTATCTCCCTTCCATTTATCTCCTTTGCTATTTTTGTAAGACTTAGTATTTATGAGTTATTGTGTTGTTTCTGATATTTTTATATTACCTATTCAGTTTTTTTTCTTAATCTTTCTTTGATTTACTCGCGGTGTTCTTTACAGTCTTAAGTTTACATTCTTGACCTTTTCTATTGCTTAGCTTAATTTTAAGGAAATGACTTGAAGTCATTCAATTCCCATGGAGCTATTTACCATTATAGAACTAGAAAATAAAGCAATCATAATTTTGTCCCTGCTGGTGATACTGGTAGTTCTGGGAATAAGCAATGCTGACCTGTCTTCTGCTGTATATGGCCTCTCTAATTCACATTGACTCTAGCTATGTTTTGAAAATCCCAATGAGAAAGACATGCTAGCTTACTAAGAGAAGGGGCATTGGTGTCAAACGATTTTATCTTCAGACCTAATCTTTCTTTTGCCACTTAAGAACTCTCTCTCGTACTGGGCAAGTCACATAGGTTCGTTCGGTCTGCTCATGGAGTTGTTGGATGTAGAGGTGAAAAAAAAAAAAAAAAAGCATGAGGCCAGGCCCTATTAAGCATTCAAATCTTTTTTTTTTTCATTTGTCTCTCAATTGTTGAATGTCACAGAAGCATTTTATAGAATTTTAGTAATTTGTGAGAATTTTTAAAAATTTTGTCATGGGTACATTTATTCTGATTTTGATATGATCTCAGTGTTACCATGATAACTCCCAAGTTGATATTTTACTAGTTCAAATGAAATTAAGGAGAGAAATCTGGAATCATAGGATTACCTTGTCCCCAAATTGACTATATTTGTTTTAAGAAAGATTTTGGTACTGATCAGATAACTGACTTTCTAGTGAAACATCGAAATATATGTATTTTAAATATTATTAAGTTATAAAAGCATAAGACCAGAGATTAAGTCTTAGATTCAGTTTTTATATTTCCCACTGGCAGATTACTGTGGATAAATATTTTTCTGCATATCATTTTAATAAATGAGAAAAAGGAGCTGTTGAGTGAAGGATCATGAATCTCGGTATTTATGGGAGGAACATCCATCCTTCAATGGAATCCCTTCCCCCATTAATTAAAAACAAAATTGCTAGTGTTTCACATAGTTCTCTGATCTATAGGCTAACAACTGAAATTAAATACTTTTAGTCTCAAGTTTCTTTTTTTATTAAAACATATTTATCATGAACAGAAAAAGCAATTACAGGCCTGTGTTCATAATTCTGCCATTCTCTTTTTGACATTTAAAGGAAGAGCCTAGGCTGGATGTCTTGATTAATAATGCAGGGATCTTCCAGTGCCCTTACATGAAGACCGAAGATGGGTTTGAGATGCAGTTTGGCGTGAACCATCTGGGGCACTTCCTGCTCACCAGTCTTCTTCTTGGACTCCTCAAAAGTTCAGCTCCCAGCAGGATTGTGGTAGTGTCTTCCAAACTTTATAAATATGGAGACATCAACTTTGAAGACTTGAACAGTGAACAAAGCTATAATAAAAGCTTTTGTTATAGTCGGAGCAAACTGGCTAATATTCTCTTTACCAGAGAACTAGCCCACCGCTTAGAAGGCACAAACGTTACTGTCAACGTATTACATCCTGGCATTGTGCGGACGAACCTTGGGAGGCACATACACATTCCACTATTGGTCAAACCACTTTTCAACTTGGTATCATGGGCTTTTTTCAAATCACCAGTAGAAGGTGCCCAGACTTCCATTTATTTAGCCTCTTCACCTGAGGTAGAAGGTGTGTCAGGAAAGTATTATGGAGATTGTAAAGAGGAAGAACTATTGCCCAAAGCTCTGGATGATTCTGTTGCAAGAAAACTCTGGGATATCAGTGAAGTGATGGTTGGCATTTTAAAATAGGAACAAGGAGTAAAAGAGCTATAAACAAAACTGGATATAAGTTATATCTGTAATCAGGAATAGTGTGGCTTGAGCTCTTGCTACTCACAAAAACAATTTTGGTTTTACAATAGCTCTGATAAGAGGTACATGTGGATGGATTTTTGAAGTTACTGAAAAGTTATTTTTTGAATAACATAAAATTTCAGCAAAGATGTTTTAAATATATGTAATAAGTATAATGAATATGTATAATGAACAATACAATTATATTTTAAAAATTATCATTGAACAAGCATGGATTACAAATATTAAAGAATTTGGTGACTAGAAATACTATCTTGAGAGGTTTTTAAAATATTTTTCAGTTTTATGGCCAAAGTGTGAAATATGTTTATGACAGTGCTGGTTTTTGTGTGGAAATAATATGCTTGGTGTGTGTACACGAATCTTAGTTGGAATAAATTTACTGATGGAAATTCTTAATTGTGTATTTCTTTAGAAGCCTGACTGAATTCAGTCCTTTATCAGGTCATCATTAGCCTCTACTGAATTGTTATGCCCAGTCTCTTCTTGCTACATATCTTGCACACTGAGAGGTAATACCCAAATCTGTGTCACGGTGTCACATCCCTGCTTAAAAACCTGTGATGGGTTTTCAATTGCCCATAAAAATGGGTTTTGGCCTTTTTTTTTTTTTTTTTAAAGCTGCAGAATTCTGTCTTCAAAAGGAGTCTTTTACTCAAATGTAGATACTGGAAAGGTTATTCAGGTTATATCAGTGCTGCAGGGGTGGAGTTCCCCAAGGCTATTTCTAAAAGGACTTTGTACAATATAGTAGTTTATAAACCATCTCTACTTAGGTTAATGCTTAAACAAACTTCTTTAATATATATTTATTTGAGACTCTCCATGAACTGGCAACTGCCTTACTTTGTACTCTTAGAATCAGTGCTGTCCAATAGAACTTTCTGCTATAAGGAAAGAATTCTTTCTGTACTGTCCAATATGCTAGACTGTAGACCCATGTGGTTATTGAGTACTTGAAATATGACTAAGAACTGAATTTCTAATCTTACTTAATGTAAATTTAAATAGGCACATGTCTTGTGACTAGCATCTTGGACAGCACATCTCTCTAGTCATTCCATTGGATAACCCAGTCCTGAATATAGAATAGTTACCCAGTCACTTGCCTCTGGGCCTTTCCTTATATTGCTCTTTCAGTCTGGAATACCCTTTCCTTTTCCCTGCAAATAATACCCTTTAGGTTCCCCTCAAGTGAATTCCTTTCTCCGGTCCCTGTAGACAGAGACAATTCTCTTTTCCTAGTTTCTCATTGATCTTGGTAGCTTTACTAGGATTTTAATGCATTAATTATTCATTCATATGTCCATTTAGATCATTAGAATAGGAATCTTCCAGGCCGGCCCGGTGGCGCACTGCTACAGTGCGCCGCTTGGGAGCGCGGCGGCACTCCCGCCGAGGGGTTGGATCCCATATACAGACCGGCTGCTCACTGGCTGAGCGAGGTGCGGGCGCGACACCGAGGGGTGCGATCCCGTTGCCAGTCATGAAAAAAGACAAAAGGAAAAAAAAAAAAAAAGAATAGGAATCTTCCAGGCCGGCCCGGTGGCGCACTGCTACAGTGCGCCGCTTGGGAGCGCGGCGGCACTCCCGCCGAGGGGTTGGATCCCATATACAGACCGGCTGCTCACTGGCTGAGCGAGGTGCGGGCGCGACACCGAGGGTTGCGATCCCGTTGCCAGTCATGAAAAAAGACAAAAGGAAAAAAAAAAAAAAAAGAATAGGAATCTTCCAAGGAAAGGAGATTTATTTTATTCTTATTAATTTTCCTCCCTAAAGAATTAAGTATAGTACCTGACACACAGTAAAAAATTCAGTAAATAATGAATGGTATACATAAAAATAGTTTGAGCCCAAATAGGAATACTGTAGGTGTCTGTGTTATAGCATCAAAAGTATCTACTAAATAATTTTAATTGCTTTTCCATCTCCTGATATTGGAAAGAGGAATTATGACAGTAAAGGATAGACAGCTACACTGAATCTAATGATGATTTGGGGCATTAAATTATAAACTTCATTGGTTATTATTTTTAAGACTGCTTATAATATCTAGTTCCCACTATCAGTGCTTTTCGAGAACAGCAGGACCCTGGGAGACCATACAGTAGACCCGTTTTCTGTAGAGCACTGCATTGTCAATGAAAGAAACACTTAAGTGTTTGTATCATCACAGGTGTGTCTTTAGGTGTAGTAGATATAGCTGCATCATGTTTTTTGAAACACTGCATTTTTAAGAAGTAATCCTACAAAGAGAACTGCTGAACTTATAAGTATGGGCAGGAAATACACCAGAATGCAACTTGGAAAAATGGAAGCTAATAAATCTGTCCTACACCTCGACTTCATTAAAAAGGAGCCCCTTTTTTCATTTAATACCATCTTTTCTGGCTGCATTTTGATACCTGATGCTTTTCAGGGGATTTAGGCCTTTTGTACGAGTTGAGTCTTTCAGAGTTCTTGTTTGTGACACCATAATAAAATAGGATATATTAATTTATCATGATGGAAAACTAGAACTTATCTGGAAACACCAACTATTAAGGTAAAATGAGCTGCCATTTGGAAGATGTCCTTCCCACCACTGTGTTTTATGGAATCAAGGACTAATAGCTCCAGTATGACTAGTTAGATTTTGAAGATATTAAGTCCTTTGCTTCTCTCCTTTCTTCCTTCTGCTGACTCACTTTCAATCCTTTGATTGGGCAAATAAATAAATAAAAGGCAATCCTGGTACTTTAATACTTATTCTCACCCTCAGCAAAATGTCTTTAGAGGGAAGCCTGTAATGTGCCAGCTAATGGAATAATTGAGCTGAAAACCCATTTTCTGTGCTGATTCTTGCTTCGTCTTTTGAAAAATTGAATTCTATTTCAAGCAGCTTGTTTTAAGAAGGGTGAGACTGCTGGGCCTTCTACCTCAGTTTCACTCAGAGTAACTATTTTATGTCGTGGGTTCTAAGTAGCATTTAATTGGAAAAGAGGTTTCACAATTTAAACAGACCACCACACTGGGTTTGATTAACAGCTCCATTACTTAACCATCCCTATGACCTGGGCAAGATACTTAACTTCTCTGAGCTATTGTTTTCTCAGTGGCTCTACCCTTAAGATACAAATGACTCCTTTAAAGGATTGCTCAGTGAATGACAGTGACAGAGTAGGCAAAGTGTTTAGAAAGTGCCTGGCACATGTGGGCACACATCCATTTCTCCTTCCGCAGGTACCTAATCATTACTAGTAATGGTAATTAGCAATAGTAATGGCTAGGTGAGTACATATGATAGAAACAAAACTCTAAATCAATGGCCAGCAAACTTTTTGTAAAAGGCCATATTGTAAATATTTAAGGTTTTGTGGGCCATACACAGTGTAACATATTCTAATCTATTCCTTTTATTTTTTTTACAGTCCCTTAAAAATGTGAAAACCATTCTCAGCTAGCACAGTGTATTGTACTCATATGACTAGAACAGTCTTTCAAGCCCAATGTACTCACTCATTGTCTTCAAGACATGGCAGTAGTTGTGTTACTGTAACTCCTGTTACTCTATAAGGCCGCTGTTGTTTTTCTATATCATTTATAATCTTGTATGACTATTTGCTCACAGACTCAGGAAGTCTAGAGAGTGTATTTTTTAAATCTATCTCCAGCTATAGATTCTGGTGTGAAGAATAGCAGTTAATCTGCCTTCAACTCCCTCCACTGACAAACCTGCCGGGCTTGGCCGGAGATCTGAGAGAATCTATATTTGAATATTTAATTGATTCCAAATGTCCTAAGGAACACTGAAGAGAGAACATGTTACTAATCACCCTTCAGGAGCTTGGCCCCCACAGACAGCCTCAGATGTTTCACAAACCTTCTCCCGACAATGGTGAGTTAAATTAGTTACAGGTTAACATGGAGGAAGGTAGTTTATTCCTAGAGGAAAGTTAGATGGAGTGCTCAGTTTTATGCAGATAGTAAGGAAGAATTTTTACAAAGCCAGATATTTAAAGTACAGTAGAAGCCCTCTTAAGCAACCACCATCTAACAGATTTGCTGTAATAACTGATTCTCCAATTTTGTTTTTTTTTTTTGAAACACATACTGAGTGATGCCCACAGCAAGTGAAATGTTCTAGGCTGATGGTTGCCACCCCCTACCCCACCTCCAGCATACCCCCGGCCCTTCTCCCTTCTGCAGCTTACAGTTCTATTATATACTTAGGGAAAGTGAGTCGTGTTATTCATTTAGCAAATGTTTTTGGAGTCCCTATTACATGCCTGGTTTGATTCTAGGCTCTGGGGATGCAGGATGCTACAAAGAAAACCCATCCAAACCTGTGTGCGTGTGTGTTAGCTGCGCTTGTTATTAATCATAATACATGTAATTAATCAAAATACAAACCAATGAAATATGAGTACAAAGAATTTCTATCAAAAGTAATCTGAGTGCTTTGGAAAAACTAAATGAATGCAAATCACTAGAAATTTACTGTTTGAATTTCAAAACGACTATCAAAGACTATCAATAGACATTTTAGAAATATAAAAGGTGTATGTATTCGGTGCTTTGCAAGTGAATTAAACTTTGAATCCATTTTAAAGACACAAAAGCTGGAAATTATAGTATATACTATTTGAGTACAATGTAAGAAGATAGAATTTCAAGTGGATCCATGCTCAGAAAAACAAGATGACAATTAAGCCCTTAGCCTTTATCAGAAGATAGGCAAATAAGTGAACATGTTATATATGTTTTAATTTTAAATAATTTTGTGGTGCATAAAATTCATCTTTATGATTTCCTTCTTTAATCAACTTTTTCATGTAACCAACCAATTCCAAATAAGAGGGCTTTCATTGTATAATGTAAAGTTTTCACTGACCTATTAGAAGAGTTTTAGTTTGGAGAGATTGGCAATAAATGTGTTCTGTGTAGTGAACCATATTTTTCCAAAGACTTCTAATCTAAATTTAGGAATGGTTTTGTTTTTAACATGCATCAATACACGGAATTGATTATTTGATATATTTGTATCAGTACTGAGGTGAGTAATTAGATTTTTAAGTTGTAAACAGGTTCCGAAGACTTTGTCTGTGCAGACCTACATACATGTTGGCATTTTAGGTATATTTTGAAGTTGTACACATGGTTTGAAGAAATGGTAAGCCCAAAGAAATATATAATCATTACTGGTTAGTGAAAAAAGCAAAGCAAGTTTCTGCCACCAACCCATGAAAGCACAGGAAATGGCTTCATGTAGTAGGTGTTCAGAGTCTAAGCATTCTGTTGACAGAAGCGGGTTCTACCCAGGGGTTTCGTGTTAATGTAATCAAACACTTCAGAGCTGTAGCCTAGCAAGCTCAAGTCCACCCACCTCAGAGTTTATCTTTAGCTCATCTGGAAG